CGCCCCGCCCCGGCCGCCCCGACGGGGCCCGGGCCGCTCCGGCCTCGGGGGGCCCCCCGCCCCGGCCTGCCTGTGTGCCGGGAGGGGGGCCGGGCCGGGCCGGGAGGAGGCGCCCGCCTGGGCCCCGCCGCCCGCCACCGCGTCTCGCCACCTGCCCTCCGGCCTTCCCCCCGCTGCCTCCACCGGAGGCCGACTGGCTTAGAGTTGGAGCTGGCTTGCAGCTTAGCGACCCGTCGCCCTGGCAACCCCCGACGCGCGTGCGGCTGCCAATGAGGCAGAGGGAGGGCGGGGTGGGGCGGGGCCAAGGCGGCCCAAGAGAGGGGTCCCGAAGCCGAAGCGGGTCCCGGGCTAGCTAGCCCATCCCGGGGATGGCGCGAGCCGACGCGGCCCCTGAGCGCGAACCTGACACAGGGCTAACGCTGAGCCCCGACGTCCGATGCTGTCTATACCTGCCGCGGCGGGCCATTCGGTGTAGCTGTGTGTGCCCCAAGGCGGATAAGCCCAGGAGGAAGAAACCTGGGACTGAAGAAAGGGAAGTGGGACACTGGAGAAGGACCTGAAGGCGAGGTCACTTGCTTGCTTCCCCCCACCCCCACCCCCTTCACGTCCTACGGCGTACGACCAGTCTCCCAGTGCGGATCACTTTAGGATAGTAACTCGGAACAATGTTATGTTCTGACTTTTCTTAGATCTGAGGATTTGTGGGAATGCTTGGCTCCGCCCTTGCTGGGTTCCGCCCATTGCTGGTGCTCTCACACTGCACACCCAGCTTTACCCAATCCCCTCCCGGGACACCCAAGGTCTGTGTGTGGCTGTGGTGGGCGGGGGACTGGGACAAGAGACCACCTTTGGAGTGCCACCGAAGATAATCCCTTTGGTTTGTGACTCGGCTGTTTTTACCCACAGCCCTTTGATTGTTGGTCCCTTCCACTCTGCTAGGTCGCCACGTGTCCCTCACTGTGCTTAAAAGCTACTCCCCATTTTTTTTTTTTTTTTTTTTTTTTTTTTAATGATGCAGGCACTGAGAGAAGCCCAGAGACACTGGAGTTAAGCTGGCTGACCAGAGAAGCTGGCATTTGAAGCCAGGCAGTGTGACTCAAGAGCCCCAACGCCTAAGAAAGCACCTCCCAGTAAAAGAGAACAGCATCGCCGCCCCTCCTGTGACTTTTTCCTCAGCAGAGTCTCTGACTCACAGTGCAAAAATTAAGACAGGGATTATTAATGAAACGAGGAGGAAAGTGGCCTCCGGGGATTAGGCAAACCTGCTTGAGGGTTGCACCCTGAGCTCTCAGACAGCAGGTCTCACACTTTCTCCCGGCTGCCTTTTCTGTGATCTGGCTCTTGGAACAGACCTTGGTGTCCTCCAACCCCATCCTTACTGCCATGAAAACTTTAACATTAAGACAGTGGAGGAGAACACACTGGTTCACCTCTTTAACCCTAGCTGGTTAAACCCCACAGCAAGAACCCAGGTGTGGCGGCTCATGCCTGTAACCCCAAATCTTTGGGGGGAGAGGGGGAAGGGGCAGAAACAGGAGGGTTTCTGCAAGTTCAAAGTCAGCCTAAGCTATAGAGTGATTTAAGGCTACCGGGATACATAGCAAGACCCTGTCTCAAAGTGAGAGGGGGGACTGTAAAAGGAGGATGGAGTGCCTCACATCTGTCATCACAGCTATGTTCATCAGAGTGGGCAGCATGGTAAGAACCTATCTGAAAACTAAAAAAATAATGATAACTATAGAGAAAGGAGGAAGGGTTAGGGGTGGCCCTCGGCGCAACTGAGTGCATTTTGACAAATGTGTGTACCTATGCTACACCACAGTTGTTGGTCCCCGCCCCCCGCCTTTTTTTGTTTAAGCTTTTGTACCTTTGTTAGTTACAGAGTTTTGAATAGCTCAGACTGGCCTCCAGCTCAGTAGGTCACTAAAACTCTGGTTCTCCCACCTCCTCCCTAGCGCTGGGATTACAGGTGTGTACCACTGTGTTCCGATTGTGTGGTGCTGGGGATCAAACCCAGAGCCTCAAGCATGCTAGGCGAGCGCCCTAATAACCGAGCCACATCCCCAGCCCTCGTGTTCCATTTCATTCACCCAAAAGTTCCCTCACGCCTCTTCCACTTCTCCGGGGCCACTTTGATCATGACCTCTATCATGAGGGGGTCAACTTTGCTTGCTTTTGGGTTTCTTAGGGATGAAACCATCCAGAAAAATCCTCTTTTCACTGGCTTCTCCTCCTCTGATCCTCAACAGATATTTGTTAGCTAAAGGAAGAGGAGGGCAGGGCAATAGCAGTGATCTTCAGGCAAGTGGTTTCTCGGAGTGAGCAGATAGTGGGAGGCACAGACAGAGGCAGGCTGTTACTATGAAACGGCCATGGACCTCCATCCCAGGGAAAACTAGTCAAATGATATGGGGACCTCCGTCAAGATAAGGGATCCACGTCCAGAAAGAGCCAAGCCCAAACATCAGGCCCCAGATGGAGGGCTTCTCAGCCCCAGCTAGCCAGGGTTCAAGTTTCTCAAGTACTCAGACCTTGTTAAGTCCCAACCCAGTGCTCTCCTTTCTCACATGGTGGTTTCATAGAGGAGGTGGGCACTCAGATACCAGGAGTTTAGGGCAAACCCAGCCAGGCATGAATGCTCCCCCACCCCCCATATCCCTGCAGTGTCTTTACCAAGGGACATTCGATGTGGAGGAGGGAACCCAGTCAGCCCACCCTCACCACATGCTCAGGCTGGCACTGCAGCGCCAGGCAGCCCTCCTGGACTCTGTAGGCATCCCAGCAGCTCTATGAATGCCTCCACTCCAGTACCAAGCCAGGCATTGCTCCCCGGGCTAGGAGCATGGAGGCCAGCCCCCTGCTTCCTCTAGGTCTTTTTCTTGCTTCAGTAAATCCTGTACCTTCACCTCCCACCAGGCCCTTCTCAGTGGGTAAAGGTAAAATGTGCTGCGTTCGGGGCCCACGCAGATTGGCAGTGAAGCAATCATCTCAATGAGTCACACAGGCACTGCGGGCGCCTGGTCCCTGTTGGGATGTCACTAATAAAATTGATTCACCCCCAGCACAGGCCCCCCAACCTTTACCCCACTCCCAAAAAAAGCAGGAAACTGAGACCTGCAAGGAGGAGCCAGGGCTCTGACAGCTCCAGGTTCCCACCCAGACCCAGCCGTGCCCTCTGCCCACACACACACACACACACACACACACACAAACACAAACACTCAAAGGGCAGGTCCTCAGGCATTCAAAATGGCCTCTCTATTGCTAACCACCAGCTATAGCAAGCAATCTTACCCACCCTCAAATCTATATGAAGGTTTTTTGCATACAAAAACAACTCAGTGCTCTCTGTGATAATGTCTCTGTACCCAGTCTCCAGCATTCGTGATTGTTCACATTTTCTTAAGCTTGCTCTAAATCTTTCTTTTAAATAAAAGAAGAAAAACCTGACAAATATGCAGGAGGAGGCTTTTGGATTCCCTCCTGTGTCCCTGCAAGCACCTCTCCCCTGTTGACCCTGCCCAGGCTTCTGAGTTCCCCTCCCCTCTAGAAGCCAGGACCACTGGCCTGCTTGCTGAGACTTAGTCACAGAATGTTGTATTAGTGAAGGTTCTCAGAAAGCTAAGATGCCAACTTTTTAGAAGCTGTCAGAAAATGTCAGGACAGGGAGGGGGCTTGGTACCTCCAGGAGGAGGTGTGCTCTTATTGTCTGCAAGAAGCTAGAGACGCCTTGTTTCCAAAAAACCGTTCAGAAGGGACTCACGCACTGATGTGTTCATGGTCTCCTGGAGATCTAGTCTGATTCTGTCACTTGGGAAAAGGGAAGTGATGGCACTCTTCATGCCACAGGGCTGCCCTTTACCTGCACCAGGCAGGACTTAACTCCCCATGGTCTCTAAGGAATTCATTCAAAAGGCATCATACACTTCTAGGCCTGCGCACTGTGGATTGCTGTGAATATGCACACCAAGGCAAAAGTCTGTACCTCGGTGGAAAGTATCCTCCCAGTGGAGATAGCCAACTATCAACAGGAACTGAGTGGTGGTCAGGCTGTGGGGGAAAGGAAGCAGGCACTGCCGCTGTAAGAGAATAACACTGAGGCAGGACTGGAGGAGATGAGAGCAAGGCAGGAAGATGTGCCCAGGGGGGCATTCCTGAAGGGGATCAGCGAGGTGTGAGTGATTCTGGGCGAGCTGCTGGCACTTGAGCTACCAGGGTGTGGGTGCAGGTGAGGCAGGGAGGGAAGGTGAGGAGACACCTGGTTCGGGTGTTGACTTTGGATCGAGGTCACTGAGGGACTTGAAGCAGAGATCCTGCGTTCGAACAACAGCTGCAGGAAGAAGCCTTCACGGCAGCCCCCCTCCCCCTCTCGTCTTGATTCTCTCCCACACCATAACGAGCTTTGTCATTTACCGAGCACCTACAGGCTGTCTAATTTACCCTTCACTTCGGATCCACCCGGCAGGTACTGTATCCCCCACCAGCCTCCCACTCTGCAGATGAGGAAGCGGATTCAGAGAGAGGAAGCAGCTTGAGCAAGGTCGCACAGCTGGGAAGAGTCAGCGCTGGGATTCAGATCCATC